ACATTCTCCATGAACAGAAAGACCTGCCTATCTTCACACCCATGTTCCCTAGGACCCAGAGCAGTAAATTTGTAAAGTAAGTGTTCAATAGATAAAAGCTAAATAATAATAATAATAATAATGATTAATCACAGGCCAGCCAGTGGCATGGTGTTTAAGGTAGCTCAATCCCACATAGCTGACTACGTGGTTCGAGTCTCCAAAGGTAGCTTGAAAAATACCGGGTATGTGTGCATGTGGGCCTAAAATACCAAGAGGAGAATCAAGGATAAGAGACTGCAGCTGGGGCCATGCAACCAAGGGGTGCCTCACTTTTCCTCTGCACTCCACCAAAACAAAACACAACATGAATGACCTTAACCTTTCTAAATCTCGGCTTCCTTATCAGGAAGATAAGGTACTAATGCCAGTTTCACAAAGCCTGGCACCTCACAGGCACTCCAAGATTGGTGTGAAATTGCTTCTATTAAACTTCAAAAAATTGCCAGACTGGCACTGAAATGTGTACTTGATTAAAGCTAGAAGTCTAGACTAGAAATTCATGAACTTTGCAGGAAACAATGAAGCTATATTATGTCACATCAACAAAATGTATCTCAGAATCAATTTTTTCCATCCTTCATTCCCAGGAAGATAACCATGACCTTCGATTCAAAACACTCATCTAAACCACACCGCTACTTGATATTACGTGTAATTCATTCTGCCTATATTGAGGAAAATATTTGGTGATTTAATTCACATTTCTGGTCATTTGCCCAAATTTGAGATAGGAACTTCAAACCACCTTGCCTTTCGGTGAAGTATTCAGTAAATGGTCAACAAGTTTGTACTGTATCTAAGAATTTGCAGCATGTCTAAATGTAGGTAAATAATCAACTCACACGTAATCAAGCAGCAAACTGTACTTGGGCAAGTTTTTCAGACTGATTTTCAGTACTCTGACGTCGAGCAGAAAATATATGCTCAGAATGAGACAGTACTATTCCTTTTTTTTTTTTTTTTGGAGAGGTTTTTGCTATAGGGCGCGTGCGCTCGCCAGACAGACAGAGAGAGATAGAGAGATAGAAAGCGAGAAATCACCCCCCAGGGGGGATGGTCACGCCACAATCCCTTCTCCTCTCGGGATCTTGGGCACGCACGCACACGCGCCTGGCGTGAGTTTTAAGTCAACCAGGTCCAGGATGTGAACCATGGTCGACTACGTGGGAGTCCAGCGACATAGCCATTACGCTAACTGCTGGTTCCTGAGACAGTACCATTCTAACTAAACTAAAC